GCCTCCTCCTCCTCCTCCTCCTCCTCCTCCTCCTCCTCCTCCTCCTCCTCCTCCTCCTCCTCCTCCTCCTCCTCCTCCTCACCTTGCCTGGCCACCACATGTTCACAGCAGTTGTCCACTCCGAGGAGTCAACCTGAGTCACATCCTCATCCCCTCGAATGGAAGCGCAACCCCCACCTGATGCATCCATCCCTCAGGGAGGAACAGGCAGTCCCCTGCTCCGATCCTCGCCTTCATGTAGTTCCCCTCTGCTATCATCTCCTGCCACGTCTCGTCGTCCAGCAATACCGTCGAGTGGTTGCAGCCTGTCACGTACACGGAGTGCAGGGTCCCCATGCAGAGCTGATGATCGGGAGGAAGAAGCGTGACCTCCTTGGTCCCGCTCAGGCAGCACAGCAGATTGTTGTGTGCATCGTAGTGGAGGGTCGACCGCACGGGCCTTGAACGATTCATCCAGAGGTTGATGGAGCATAGTCGACCGCACTCTCCTCCGAGGCTCGCGGGAACCTTGATGTCACCCAGCAACGCCGCCAGCCCGGAAGGAGCGTCTGCGCTGGAGGAAGACAGCGGGCATTGCGCTAGGTAGACGTTGGGGTCGCCCTCATGCTCCAAGAAGGATTTGAAAGGGATCGAGACGGTCTGAGCATGTCGAACGTCTCCCGAGAACTTAAGATCGTCTGACACAGCTACGTCCACTACCACCTCACCACATCGTTCAGTGAGGTACAAGGTACCATCACCCCCCACCCACTTCCGACATGCAGGCCATGCCATGAGCGTCTTCTCGGATCTCACGACAAACGGCTGGGAGCGACTGACCATCTCCTCGAGACGCTCCAGCGAGTTCAGTTCCAGCACGGCCTTGGACATGGCAAGCTCTATCGGACCCTGTGAGGTGATGGAGGAATGGGACGAGGAAGAATTTCTATCTCTCAAACACTTTGACCTATCTCCTTCCTTCATCTGCTACTCCTCTATCCTCCCCCTCCATCCTCCTGCTTCTCTTCCTTCGCTAGCAACCTCACCTGCTCCTCCCCCTCCTATCACCCTATCGCCCGATCCACCATTGCGCCCCAACAAGCATCCCCCAAAGTATCCGTGAAAGTATCCGCGAAAGTATCTGTGAAAGTATCCGCGAAAGTATCCGCGAAAGTATCCGTGAAAGTATCCGCAAGGGTATTCCAGGTCTGGGTGCGACCTCTAATGATGGGGTGGTGGGGTAAAGTGAAAGCAAGGGGTAAAATGAGGGGAATCAAGGGGTTAAAATGAAGAGATGGGGTAGGGGTACTGGGTTAACAGCTCATCCAGGGGGGGACCAGGGTCGTCATTTGCACATGGAAGAACCACGGGGGGGGGTGGGGGTGGTGGACCATTGGGACCAGGTGGAATCATTGGCATGAAAACGAATCCCTTTGATATTTTAGAGTAATAAATGTATTACATGGTACTGTAATTAGTAGCAATTTTTCTAAAACTAGATTTAATCTCCGAAAATTGGGTCCCAACTAAAATAGTTTAATCAATCAACAATTGGTTTTAGGCCGCACGGGGATGGGGAGTGCAACAGGCTCGTGCGGGTGGGGGAGGTCCAACTACCGGTGGTTCAGTCTGATGACTGCAGCGGTCATGAGTTCTAACGGGGGGTGGGTGGTGAAGACGGACTTCTGGGTGGTTCCCATGGTGGGGTGGTCTTGCAATTATACATAATATCTATAAGATATAATTTTTCCCCTGTTATCACCCCCTTCTCGATCGTAATTTGAGTAGGTAAGGGTCATTTCTTATAACCATAGGTTGTGAAGTGTGTGTTCTCGCCAGTGGGGTATCTCAGATTTTGTCCACAAAAATCGGATGACTTCTTGAAAGTATGTACTCTAATTTGAAATATCAAGAATTTATTTAATTTTTTGTTCCATTCGGTCTAAAGTTCATTTTCAGGGTGGGTGGAGGACCAATCTACCCACACCCCTATCCTTGACTGCATTATGGAGGGTCCTCTGCGTCAGCACAAAACTTGAAATCCCGTAGAGTACAACCTTTTCTGGGTCGGGGTGGGGTCGGGGTGGGGTGGGGGTAGGAATACAAAATCACATGGAGGTGGGGGTGGTGGATTGGAGATCGGAGAATGCGGACAGCGAATGGAGGGATGCGGAGCAGCTGGAAGAAGAAGAGGAGAGGCAGGCAGGATCTCAGCCAGATTTCGATACTTCCCACAACGAGAGACAGTGCTATCAAGAGTAATATCGTTTGAGAGCTCATGTAGTTGCCATGAATATGCCTGCAAGCCTTGAGGATTTAGAAGGATTTTTGAATAGTCTCCATTCAGTGACTTCAGTTCATTTTATTGTCCTCGAGGGAGGATGGCTTAGAATTCCAGTGGTATAAGATGATTTGATCCAGCTCCATCTTGTCCCTATCAGAGACTCTCTCACACTGGCATGCCTGATGGAGGCAGGACAAAGTTGAACTTACCCTGGACCTGTAGATGTCTGCTGTTGGAATGGTTGTGGAGACACAAGTAGCTGATGATGGTGTGACTACACCACATGGAGGACAAGTAAGTCGCGGTGCTGCTGCTTGAGTATCTGACTGTTTCGACTCAAGGAGTGGAGGCAATGCAAGAATTTCATTGAAGATTTTTCCGTCACTACCAATGGTATGGGACCGCCAGAAAAGGCTCTGGCAGCAGCCAAGGCAGCTGTAAGTGTAGTGAAGCTGAAGATCAATCAAGCTGACGTCTCGTTCGCAGGTTGAAAGCATCGACCATTATCCCCCCGCCAACTTCGAGCCCCACCTCTCACACCTTGCCGAGTTTCTATGGGGCGAGGAAGCCGACCTGTACAAGAATTGTTTGCAGCTGGGCAACGGGGCGTCGGAGCTGATCGACCTCGTCGTCCGCTCTTGTGCTGTTGTTGGAGCATGGCGTCCTGGCCCGACCATGGCTCAGTACGAGGAGTACAAGCGATCGTCAGAGGTGAGGATCCGGAAACGGCCAGCCCTCCTCGTTGGTGGGTTGCCTGATGGACGTTTGCTCAGGCGGCTGGATTTTATCGTGTTGCGGCCAATGACAACTCTGCGAACCTTCTGTGCATGGTGAACCCAACGAATCCAACGGGAGACTACATGAAGGTCGAAGAGCTCAAGGCTTACATCGAGAACAACTGCAAGGCTGGTTCGGTTGTCATCGTGGACGAGAGCATGCAGCCATGGGTGGGGCCACACTGGAGGGAAGATAGTCTCGTCAGCCAAGGCAAGTGGAGGCAGGCGATGAGCATCGAGAAGGGCGTCGAGGTGTTCGTCATGCACAGCTGGACTAAGATCTGGGCATGCACGGGGGTGCGCCTGGGGAGCGTGATTGCTCCAACAGCGGGGCACATGGAAATGATCAAAGCGAAGCAAGTTCCTTGGTCTGTCAACTGCGTTGCCCTAGCGTTTCTCTCTGCTGCTGTCAAGGACCAGGAATACCTCGAGTGAGCACCCGCCCTGCCTTGCCTTGTTGGGCCTAACGTTTCCTCCAGGACCACCTGGAGGAACACCGCCTTGTGGCGCAAGAATGTGGTGAAGGAGCTGAATAAGTACTTCCCTTCATGGCAGTGCATCGGTAGGCGGACGAGCGGTGATCCCTGTGAGTAACGTGGTGCGTCAGGCGAGCCCTTCCTTTCATGGGTCTGGATCGACACCGGGGATGAGCTTGTTGCTGCCAAGGCTGTGGAAGTCGCGAAGCAGGTCTGCCCTCGTGAAGAGAGGAAGTGACTTGTGCTCTCCTCTGACTTGGTCTCTCCAGCATGGCACTCCTGTGCGATGGGGAAAGCCAGGCTACAAGCTCCCCACCTACGTGCGAATCGCAGTGAGGGATGAGGAGACGACAGAGTATCTCATCGACGCGTGGAAGGAGGCCTTCCTCGGTGACGAGCGAAGAAGCAGAGCGGTTTAGAGCATGCCGAGATCGCATGCTGTCCCACAAGATCAGCTTGAAAATTTTCCAGCATGTCCAGTTTTTTCTCTTGTGCTAGACTTGCATTTCCCTTGTAGAATATGCTTGAGTAAACTGACCCTCTCATGCCGACTTGTAGAATATGCTTGAGTAAACTGACCCTCTCATGCCGACTTGTAGAATATGCTTGAGTAAACTGACCCTCTCATGCCAACTTGTAGAATATGCTTGAGTAAACTGACCCTCTCATGCCGACTTGTAGAATATGCTTGAGTAAACTGACCCTCTCATGCCAACTTGTAGAATATGCTTGAGTAAACTGACCCTCTCATGCCAACTTGTAGAATATGCTTGAGTAAACTGACCCTCTCATGCCGACCTTACGGCCTCGATCTACTTTGCCTGTCGTCTCCGTCCTCGTTCCTCTTCCTTCTTCCTCTCGCTGGCTCCCTGCTCCCTCCCCGTCTTTTGCGCCCTGTGCATCATGCCTGTGCATGTTCCGTCCTCCGCATATCAAGCTCGCCTCAGAGAAACCTACGACGAACAGGACAAAGATGATGACGATGAGCGGGGAGGAAACTTGAAGGAGAGCATGGGAGGCGAAGGGTCGGGGGGGCATGCACCAGCAGCAGTAGCATGAGAAGGAGGAGGAGGAGGAGGAGGAGGAGGAGCATGATGATGATGATGATGACCATGATGATGATGATGTGGTGGTGGCGGCGGCGACTCCCTCCGATTATCAGGGTCTCCTCATCCCGTACTTCCACTTCTCCTTCCTTGCAGACCTTTCTGCAACGTTATCTCTCTCATGTCTTGATTGTCATGTAATGCTTGCTGGTTCTTGCCTTCCTTGTTCCCATCGAATCCTGGACGAAATGCTCCGCCTCAACCTCTACAGCCCTCCTGGTCCTCCTCCCTTCCCTCCGCCACTGCCTCCTCCTCCTCTTCCTCTTCCTCCTCTTCCTCCTCCTCCTCTTCATAGAGCAGACGCAGACCTGTCTGTGGCTTATGGTAACTCTATCAGCTCGCAGGCTTTCTTTGAGCCTCGCCTGCCATGTCCGAGGTTGAAGCGGCGGACAAGCGGCTGCGCTCGTGGCTGAGAAAGTAGCTCGTTGCTGACTGCCGGGCGCGTGGTGACGCTGGTTCAGATCAGGGAGGCCTGCCAACTACGGGAAGAACTATGGAGCAGTCGACGACGAGGACGAGTATGACAACGTCATGCGCAAGGCTGAGGGCGAGGAGGATCCAGAGGACAACATCCCGAGCACAGGTGGGGAGAAGCTGGGTAGCTGATGCGCTGACTCCTCGTAGCCGTCCGTATGGCCAAGAGATTCCGCAGGTTCATGTGTGCGCTGCTGGGTGGGATCGTGGCGATCGCTGTGGGTGCTCTGCTTGCGTATGTGTACATCCGATCGGCCCCTGATGACATCTCCTTCGTGAGTCTGAGGAGGAGGAGGAGGAGGGATAGGGAGGTTGGTGAGGAGGAGGGGAGAAAGCCGGGGGGGTGGAGGCGGGGAGGGGGGAAGCTGAGAGGAGTCCTGAGGCATGGTACAGGTCACCATCGGTGACTGGGGTTGTGGACCTGACAACTGCAATGTTCCAAAGGCTGCGCCGCAGGTACGGAGGGCGCGAATGAGTGGAGAAAGTGGAGCAGGAGCAGGAGCAGGAGCAGGAGCAGGAGCAGGAGCAGGAGCAGGAGCAGGAGCAGGAGCAGGAGCACGAGGAAGACGGCACCGTTTTGCACTAATGTGGAGGGCAGGGGTTCCATCATGGCAGCGAGCACCAGCTCAAAGTCTCTGAGGCCATGGCAACAACGGCAAAGGTGATTGAATTTCCTTTCCTTCTGCACTACAAGATCCCTCTCGTCCCTCTCTTATACTTCTTGCTGGTATCCCCTGCTCCTGCTCCTGCTCCTGCTCCTGCTCCTGCTCCTGCTCCTGCTCCTCCTGCTCCTACTCTACTTCTGACAGATGGTATCCTAGAACATCGCGAGCAAGTTCGTGTTAGCGCTGGGGGACAACTTCTACTGGCGGGGAGTGCAGTCGGTTGACGATCCTCTCTGGAAGTCCGTGTGGGAGGATCGGTTCCAGCAGGAAAGTCTGCGGACGCCCTGGTATGCCATCCTGGGCAACCATGACCACTACGGGAACCCTGAGGCGCAGATTGACTTTGCAAGAGAAGACAGAGATTGCAAGGTCTTCAAGCACTGCCCGAGCAGGTGGATCCTGCCGAGGTACTGGTACAGCAAGCTCCTCTCCTCCTCCCAGAGGTCGTTCAGCGCGCTCTTCGTATTCCTCGACACCGTCATCATCGCCGAGGGCTCCTCCGCCGACATCGCGCGGGAGAAGGCGAGCCTGGGTCAGCTCTCCAACGACGACCTCAAGAAGTGGGAGAGCTGGGCGGAGCAGCGGCGAGTGATGGCGAAGCTCCAGCTGCAGTGGCTCGAGCACACGCTCAACAGCAGTAAGGCGGACTGGATCGTGGTGGCCGGTCACTACCCCATCTTCTCTGGCGGAGAGCATGGGAACACTCCCGAGCTGCAGGAGGTGGTGAAGCCTCTGCTGGAACGATACAAGGTGGATGCGTACCTATGCGGCCATGACCACACGCTGCAGCACCTGAGGTCCGACGGGATCGACTACTTCGTGTCCGGGGCCGGGGCCCTCCAGGGGGAGTACACGCCACTGGCTGAGAGCCTCTTCGGAACGATTGAGAACGGCTTCATGGCGCACAGGATCGGGCCAGACAGGATGGACGTCAGCGTCATCAGCGGATCCGGTCGGACCCTCTACCGAGCCTTCATCCGAAGGAGGAGGAAGCTGCACGAGAAGCCCAAGGAGGGAAAGATGGAGGAGGAGTGGGACGAGGGCGAGAAAGACCTCGAGGACGTTCCTCGTAGCGTGTTTCGTATCATCTGAAGGAAGGGAGGGCAAGGTTTATATGGTCTTCTTCCGAGGCTCAAACTGCCTCCCTACTGCTGCCTTCTCCCTCTTCTCCTGCACTCTAGGAAGAGGATTGCCATCCTCCTCCTCTTCGTCCTCCTCTTCCATCCGATGTCTTGGATCTGCCTTGAACCCGCTGTGCTTCCTTCCTTTCTTGATCTCTTGACGTTTCAATCTTTGTGCAATGTCCATGGTACGCAGAGCTTCCTCCAAGAGAGCCTCCAGATTCTCGATTCCTCCTCCTCCTCCTCTTCCTCCTCCATTCAGCTCGAAGCCCCTTGCGCGCATCTCTTGCCTCAACGCTTCCACTAGAGAGCTCTTGGAGTCCTTCCTGCCCCGCAACGGAAGCCCTCGCTTCTCCAGCGCGGTCAGCAGCTCCTCCACACGTCTCGGCATCTTGGGTCCGTCCTGATTCTGCTGCGCGTGGGGAGGAGCAGAACTTCTTTTTCCCTCCTCACGTTTCTTCTCGCTGGTCGCCTGGTGAGCTGCAGCCTCGCCGTGGGTGTGTAGCCCTGCAGAACTATTAGGAGGGGCGTTGAGAAGACTCGGGGAGGAGACCCTGGGGGGTGAAGAAAGGGGTAGGAAGAACACGGTAGAGGGGAAGGGGGAGGAGGAGGAGGATAACGCACTCTCGCTATGGCGAATGAGGATATCGCGCACAGTCGTCATCTTGGCAACGGTGTCGGTGGACTGCAGGAGGGCCTGTCGGGTCACCATAGTGAAAGGATTCGTCTGACTCCTCCAGAACACGTTGTATGCCAGTGCCATGCACAGCCAGTTGAGGAAGGCTTCCGGCCCCTCGGCCTCGGCCGGAGGGTTCCCGATGGACGAGGAACGAGCGTCAGCTGCAGCATCGTGATCGAGGGAGAAGAAAATTCTCCTCGTCTGCTTGTGGAGCTCCTTCATCTCGTCCGTCCTCGTCGACTTGATCGCCTCATCGCTGAACAGCGTCCCGTTGATGTAAGTGAAGTCACTCTTCACATCAGTCCACGTCTGGTTAATCTTTATCCTCTGCCCCCCCTTCAGCTTAGCCTTCACCGTCCCCTCTGACAAGTCCTGTATGCTCAACACTTTGGCGACCGTCGCCACCCTGGTTCCGGAAGAGACGGCGAACTTCTTGTTGGAGGACTGGAGGTCTCGGAGTAGCCTGATGACCTTGACATCCTGCGTGACAAACTCTGCGATCCCGCGGGGGAAGAGCACAGTCACGAATGAGACGATGACGGGGAACGTGACGTTGGCCGCGGGAAGGTGGACCACCTGCAACACAGAGGAGAGCAGGTCCGCCCTGGTCTTGCACCTGATACACATCCTCCCCCTCTCCGCCAGCATGTTCTTGAGGCTCCGGATCGACAGGGAGGACACAAACTCAGTGATCGCGTCCTTGAAGTGCGACTTGTCGCTGCATGCCAGGCAGCGAATGTTGAGCTGCTTCACCACTTCCCGCAGTCTGGATGCGCTGCAGGTATCGATGAAGTTCTTCTCCTGTAGCGACGGGCTCACGTCCTCGTCCACATCACTGGTCACGTACTCTACGGGAGAGGACGACGGCACTTCCTGCTGGGACGGGGCGTGAGAAGCAGCTGCTGCTTCCCTTTTCCGCTGGGGAGGTTCACCAAACCCTTCCAACCTTGGCTCATAGTTGCCGCGAGACACCTCGTCCCAGTGGATGAAGACCGTTTGAGACAACGCCAGGTCTAACGAGATCAGCACCAGCAGGATGGAGAGGATGACAGGCCGGTAGTTCCACTCTGAATGCCCCTTCCCTGACAACTTGCCAAAAGCCATGGCCCTCGGATGCTAAGGATGCTCTGTCGGCTGCCGATCCCTCGATAAAGATTAGGACGATGCTCCCTTCACTGCAGCGGTTCTAGTTCATAGAGCAAACGCACTGATCATGAATTTCGTTCACAGTACCACGGAACTAATAAAATATCTTTCAGTTTGCTTTCTTGCCTTCCAGTAGTCCGTCGAGATCCTGCCTAAAGATTTCAGTTGTTTTCACGCGATACTAGCAGTCTGGAATAGCGTTGTGATCACTTCCTGACACTACCGCCTTGTCAATCAAAACCAGCCTCTGGCTTTACCGCACTTGCTATCGTCCGACACCGAGCTTTCATGCACCGGGGGGCTTGTTGTCCAACAGGATGCCGAGTGGGCAGGGTACATGGTGGGAGCGAAGTGCAGAAAGAGTGAGTGCAGGGGAAGGGAAAGGGTCGCTAGGTGAGGGATGGAAGGGGAAGGTCGCAACATGGGGAAGAGTGCTCGTGTGCACCGGAAACCTGAAGCGAGCATGGCGAACTTTTCTACTGAATGATAACATCCTACATTGTTTGAGCTTGCATCTTCGTCAACTGGCATGCTTCTTTCTTGATCTATCGTCCTCTCTCCTCCTCTTTCATCCCTCCTCTCCTCTCCTCTCCTCTCTCCTTTCCCTTCCTTGGCGTCCTTGTCACTACATGCGTTCATAGATTCCACGGCAAGGAGTTTTCGGGAATTTTCTGTAACTGAGGTACTACCCCTTTCACCCCCCCTCCACAGCAGTAAAATAATCACCCACCTTCCCTTATCCACCCTTTTTTCTCATGATAATACCGGTTATTTTACTACCCCCACCCTCCATAAACACTCCTCCCACGTCCATACTCCTTCCGACCACCAATGGTAGTGGCAACTGTTCCTATTGTTCCATTTGGTAGCAATAATGTTTGAGTAATTATAACTCAGTAGAAAATAAAATATATGTTTTATATTTGATAGAGACATGTAGGAACCATATGCCACACCCCTACCCTTGGGATCTATTTTTGGAATTTTTTTGTCAAACAGATCTGCCTCATGATTTTTCAAGATTTGTATCTCACATTTCAAGATTGTGAGGAGAAGTTGAAAATTAGATGTGATTGTAAATAGGTCGCAGTCGTTTATATGAACGGCAAATTAATTTGAAGATTTATTGTAAACTTTTCAAATTAAATAATAGAATTCGATGTCAGCTTTTAACTCAGTTCAGGGAAGGTAGAGAGAATAATTGAAGTTACCCATGAAATTATTCTATGCAAATTGAATTATGACGAGACCAGTTTCGAATAGTATTGGGATTGGGGCGAGCCCGTCGTGTGGGGTGGCATTTCTCTTTGAACTGCTCCATTTTTATTTTGAAAATTAAATGAATAATTTAATCCATTTCTTCAAAAAGTTGTGTTGGTTGACTGAATTATTTTTTTTTCAAGGAGGGGTGGGGGTGAGGGGTGAGGGGTCCAGCCCTAGGTAATTCAATGAGCATACCTAAATTTGTGTAACAATCGTCATCTTAAACCCGACTCATATTTCAATTTTCATAGAAATTATCTCAAAAATTTGATCCAATCTATCGAAAATTGTGAATAACTGAGTGCCCCTACCGGAAGAAGAAGTTTTTCTTTCACCTCACGTGGCGCCCGCGTAGACACGCCTCCTCCGCCGCATGTCCGTCCTCCCCCCAACGCTCCTTGTTGCCCACGTCCTCCCCCCCCCCCCTCCTGTTCCTTGTTGTGCTCGCATCTTGTTTCTATCCTCAATCTTCAACTCTTTTCTACCTTCTTCTTCCCTCTCACATTGGTTGAACTGTATTTTCTTTCCCCTGTGCATTTTTGGTCGAGGTAGAGCCTTCTCGTGCAAGATGCAAGTATTGAACCAAGAGGATGTTAGCATGTTTCACAGATATTGATGGTTTTGGTTTTGAGTCATTCTTTAGAGTGGACCATCTCATACCATGCTCGTGATGGATTTCGTGTTATAGTGCACAAACAATCTGAGTCCCCTGTAGCAAAAAAAGAGCCTGCGCAGCCTTGTTGCTCGGTGTCATGCATCCCCGGCTTTCATGTGCTTGTTGTGAAAAACTTGATGCTATGCTGACTATCAAAAGATCCTTATTTTGTTTATCTTTCTGCAAGTTATTTATATCATTTTGCTTCAGTCTGACCCTGCTTACGTCACCAATGTCAATGATTGCTGATATCCTTCCTTCTCTACTGTTCTTGTTTTAATTGAATATTTTGTACTTCCCGTTCTTTCTGGATATTCTCTGTCACCTCAGCTAGCACAGTTTTCAAAGCTGCACCCCAAATGATCATGCCCCGATGCTGTTGAATGTTCTCACTGCCACCTTCCCTCCTCTCACGTGTTACTTGATTGCTGACTTTCTTCTCAGTTTACCCTTCAGTTTCTGAAGGGCACGCATTGGAAAGGCTTAGTTGAAAACAAGCAAGACAGAGGCAATGGCTGACGACGGTGCTCCCGGAGGTGACCGTGGTCCCGGCCTCGACACAACTCTCACTGACGCGGATATCGAGTCCAACTGGGACCATGTACGTGTTGCGCCTACTGGTGGAAGTGATATGATTATGTGTGCTGATGCTGTGCTTAGGTCTGCGAAACCTTCGATGACATGGGTCTCGATGAGAACCTTCTTCGTGGTATCTTCGCCTATGGTTTCGAGAAGCCATCTGCTATCCAGTGCGTGCCCTAAATGCTGATCCTGATCTCATCTTACATACGCATGTAGGCAAAGAGGAACCATGCCTCTCATCAAGGGCAGGGACACCATTGCCCAGGCTCAGTCCGGTACTGGCAAGACCGCTGCTTTCTCCATTGGGTGCTTGTAAGTCGATGCCTGCATAGCATTTATCCGTTGGTCACTTTCTTTTGCTCTTTCAGGCAGCGCATTGACCTCAACGAGAAGGACTGCCAGGCTCTGCTTCTTGCACCCACGCGTGAGCTTGCTCAGCAGATCCAGAAGGTTGTTCTCGCCCTCGGAGATTACATGGGGATCACTTGCCATGCTTGCATTGGAGGAACCAATGTGCGAGACGATATCCGCAAGGTCGAAGCTGGTCAGCAGGTCGTCGTTGGAACTCCAGGACGTGTGCACGACATGATCAACAGACGTGCTCTCCGTACTGATGGCATGAAGATCTTCGTTCTTGATGAGGCCGATGAGATGCTTTCTCGTGGGTAAGGAAGATCCCTTGTGTACGAGCATGACGCTAACCGGTGGGCAGTTTCAAGGATCAGATCTACGATGTCTTCAAGTTCCTCCCCTCCAAGGTGCAAGTTGGCCTCTTCTCTGCCACCATGCCCATCGAGGTTTTGGAGATCACCCGTCACTTCATGAGGGACCCAGTCAGGATTCTCGTGAAGAAGGATGAGCTTACTCTTGAGGGTATCAAGCAGTTCTACATCGCAATCGATCGTGAGGACTGGAAGCTGGACACTCTCTGCGATCTTTACGAAACTCTCACCATCACCCAAGCCATCATCTACGTGAACACCAGGCGCAAGGTTGACTGGTTGCTCGAGAAGATGACCAGCCGTGACTTTACTGTGTCTGCATTGCACGGTGATATGGACCAGAAGGGCCGTGAGCTCATCATGAGGGAGTTCCGTTCCGGTTCCAGCCGTGTGCTTATCACCACCGACTTGCTTGCTCGTGGTATCGACGTGCAGCAGGTTTCCTTGGTTATCAACTATGATCTGCCATCGAACCGCGAGAACTACATCCACAGGATTGGTCGCTCTGGACGTTTCGGTCGTAAGGGTGTGGCCATCAACTTTGTGACTGGGGATGACGTTCGCAACATGCGTGACATCGAACAATTTTACAACACTCAGATTGAGGAGATGCCCATGAACGTGGCTGATCTCATCTAAAGATCATGGTTGCCAGCCCATATGGAGGCATCGTGATCCCTCGTAACAATATGATATGCAACCGAATCTCCTACGGATGAAGACCTGGCGAGGTTTGGAGTCCATTAGATACGATCTGTGGATCAGGCCATAGTTGGTATATTGCTTGTTGAACTAGAAGGTTATAGGGGAAAGTGAATGGCATGAGCCTGACGTAAATCTCATAAGTGTTTGCTCCCAGGATGATTGCGAAGTCTTGAATGAAGCACACAACACTCAAGCTTGTTCACCTTGCACGTTCATCACCTCGCACTATGCGCCATATGAAGCTGAAAAAACCACTATTACGGCCAACTAATATTGATGTCCTATTCGGGAGCACTCGGTACTGGTGCAAGAAGACAGTCCTCCTGAAACGATGCTGTGCTGGCAGAGTAATGTGGTTTTTATTTCGAGATCTGCCTACAGCTCTGTTAACTATCTGAGTTATCATTTCGTCAACAGAGCATCTTGACTTTTTGCATTTTTTGTTATTTCCAGGAATTGGAACCATAGAACGCAATCATGATCATATCAAAATCCATCCACCCCCTTTTTATACAAACACTTCATTGTGGATATCTCTGCAACTAAGTTTTTCTAGAATCACTTGAACGCAGTTTCGATTCAACGATAAATTTGGGATTTCTCGTACATTCTGTAATGATGCAACATACAACTGCGACAACCTCTCCATCCCTCTCAACACACCTCACATATGCGAAGGCTGCAAGTCAAGTCTTGTGCTCTGTGAGTCAACTCTGCCTTGACCTGAACTCGGTCTGGCACTCCTGTTGTGCTCTCCATGCCAGAATGTTGCCCTGCCCTGCCCTGCCCTGCCCTGCCCTGCCCTGCCCTGCCCTGCCCTGCCCTGCCTGCCCTGCCCTGCCCTGCCCTGCCCTGCCCTGCCCTGCCCTGCCCTGCCCTGCCCTGCCCTGCCCTGCCCTGCCCTGCCCTGCCCTGCCCTGCCCTCCTCTCCCCTGCCCTGCCCTGCCCTGCCCTGCCCTGCTCTGCTCTGCATTGTCATAACGAGAAAAGTAACGGTTATTTGAAATAACAAGAAAACTTCAAAACATAGAGCTTTTCGTCTAAATTAAAGAGAATTTAGTTAAAATAGCCCAATGTTGGTAAAGAATAACTGGGATCCTGTTGTGATGCAGTCAACCCGCAATGCTGTCTTGAATACTTTCCCCTCCCTCCCTGCCTCCCTGCCTGCCTCCCTCCCTCCATGCCTGCCTCCCTCCCTCCCTCCCTCCCTCCCTGCCTCCCTGCCGACCTCCCTCCCTCCTTGCTTTTCTCTCTCTCTCCCTCCCTCCTCGCCCATATCCACATGTCAACTTGTACTACCCTCCTTCCGATCCTTGATTGTCATCTTCAGATGGTAGTGTTTCGCCTCGAGCTACATCTATACAAACAAACGAAGCTCGTACCACCTCCCCCCTTCCCTCCTTCCCTCCGCCCCGACCTTTCCTCTTCCAGCACCTCATCGTCAACTTCCTCCTCTTCATGCTATCTGTTCATCACTGCCCGCACGTTCTCTGCCTCTTGTCCTGATCCCCGCTCTCCGCTGTATTCTTGTTCCCCAGTTGTCCCATAATCCCATGTTGACCACGGACTTGCAGGACCCCCGAGCGCCATCGATGACTTGAACAAGAAGGATCAGGAACATCGCAACAAGAGACGGCTTTACTCCCTCTCTTCACCATGAACAGCAAGGTTCACTTCGCCCTCAGCCCGCACAAGGTCGCGCTGTCAGTACTGATCCAGGATCTCTGCACACCGGAGAACATCCCCCCCAACGCGCGGCCCGTCCTCTCCCTCTTCCTCCTTGAGCATGTCCGGCCGGTCGACGACTTCCGTGAAATGACGCTCAGCCAGCTGTGCTCTGCCCTGTCTCAGCTCCACCCGCCGCTGGGCCATGCTCTTGCCCACCAGCTAGTGCGGTCCATGAGGAAGGTGGACTCCCCGGACGCTCTCTTCGACACGCTGCAGTCTCTCGAGCTCGTCCTCCAGCTCAATGTGACCTGTGAAGACTCGGCCCCAAACCTCAACTCGAGCTCAGCCCTCGGCATCTTCGTGCGCAAAGTCCTGCTGACGTTCCACACGACCATGTTCGACGGGTTGTCGGACCTGTACTCCAAGATGCAGAGGTACCTGGAGGACTTCTCGCTGGAGTCGCAGGAGAAGATGAGAGAGGAAAAGCTTAGTACCCCCCAGGACCTCTCGCACTTCATCCACAGCCATGCCAGCCTCATCGAGCGATCTTCTCAGCGCCTGCACATCGACCCTGAGCTGGAGAAGGCGCTGAGCAAGGCAGGAGACCCTCCCGGCGCCTCCTACCTGCGGTACCTCTACGCCATGCAGGAAGGAGACATCACTGCGGCCATTGACCACCTTCACCGCTACTTCGATTACGGCATGTACGGCAAGGCGCTCAAGGCGGACAAGGCGGAACATCGCGACAAGCCCGTCTTCCACTGGGCCCTCCTCAACCTCGCGGCCCTCCACTTCCGCTTCGGCAACATGGCAATGGCCCTGCAGGCCCTGGAGGAGTGTGTGAGGCTGGCCCAGCACACGTCAGACCATCACTGCCTCGCTCACGCGCTCCTCTGGCTCGTCCGCCTCGTTGGAGTCGCTGGCGAGCGCCAGCTCGAAGGACAGCTGATCCGTCGCTGCATCCTCCGCGCCTGCCAGCTCCGCATGACGAAGCTGCAGGGTGAGGCCGTTCTGGCCCTCCTCAAATATCGCCTGCAGAGCACCACCAGGAAGGACAACGCGCTCGGAAAGCCTTCAGCAGATGCTGGAGCAGGTGAGAGTGTAACCTTCCTCCACTCCTCCCTCCCCTCGTCATGTCTTCCCTCCCTCCCCTTGCCCTCCCCTCCTTCCCTTACTCTCTCCTCGCTCCTCGCTCCGATCTCCCCCCTTCCCATCTCCGGCTTCCTCCAAGACTGATGACATGGGCGGGCAGTTGGAACCATCCCGACGTCCGTCTGGGACGCTCTGGTGGCCTGCAAGACCCTCCTCCTCGAGACGGACGCAGACGCAGACGAGCTCACCAACTCGCTCTCCCTGCTGGAGTCCGGCATCTGGTCCAGCTACGGTCACTTCGAGCTTGCGCACGCGCACGGCCGGCAGCCGCTTGCCTTCTCCTCCTCCAGCCCAGCAGCCGATCACGCCTGCACCTCCTTCTGCTCCTCGGCATGCCATGAAGGAGCTTTCGTGGATCCCAGGAGGGCGCTGCGGGACATCTGCGGGGTCAAAGAGGGCTTCCCCCTCGCTCACTTCCACCTCTGGCTGCAGTCGGCATGGACCCTCCTGTTCGCTCGCTCCTTGTACAGGAATCAGCTGCACCGGGCGCAGGTTATCGCCCTCCAGATGGGTTCCATGCTCATCTCCGCTGCTGAGTCGGCGGGGCTCGTGGCGGCGGAGAGAGCCAGGTGAAGGACCAGAGCCAATGGTGCATGCGAGGAGAGGGGGAGGGTGCGGGGGACAGGAAAGAGGGAGCTGGAGGACAGGAAGGAGGAGGAGGAGGAGGAGGAGAATAGCTAACGAGAATGTGGCCAGAGCTGAGATCTTTCTCCGGACCAACGATCCTGTTCGTGCCGTCCAGATCTTGAACCGCCTACATGATTGGTACCTGCTTTGTTGCCATCCTTCTTTCTTGCTAACCTCCTCCTCCTCCTCCTCCTCCTTCTCTAGCTGTGTGGCAAGGAAGCTGGAGCTAGAGGATGCCATGGTTCAGTTGTCTCTTGCCTGCTCCCTGGAGAAGATGGGAGCTCATGACGCAGCCTTCCCTGTCGCCCTCGCGTGCATCTCCAAGTGCGAGCAGCTCAACCTCGACAGCCTCAAGGTCATCATACCCTCCTCTCCTCCTCCTCTCCTCCTCCTCTTCCTCCCTGATCAGCACGGGCCTGTCTTTCTTCTCCAGCTCGACTCGCTACTGGCTCACTTCTCCTGCTCCTCCTGACCATGTCGAGCAGGCAAGCGCCATCGTCCTCCTCGCCACCCTCCACCTGTACAAGTGAGTTGACCGCGATCATCATGATCTTCACTTGTCCTGACGCGCCTGTCGGCCAGAGGTCTTCCCACCAAGGCCCTCAACCTCGTCCAGTCCGTCTTCCCCCTCGTCATGTCCTCCGGCAGCATCCTTGAGCGAGCACAGGCCCACCACCTCGTGGCCCGCTGCTTGCTAGACGGAGCCTCCGCGTCCTCCCCCGAGGGCTCAACGATCACGGCAAGCAGACAGGCCTCTCCTCCTCTTCCTCTCACACTTGACCCTTCCAGGATCCGTGCGCGATCCTGCTACTCGCCAGCACACACCTGAGCAAGGCGGTGGACGGCTACCGGCGACTCGATGCGTATCAGGAGGTGATGCAGAGCTGCCATCTGAAAGCCATGGTGGCAAACAAGCTCGGGGAGGAGGAGGACAGGGAGCGAGCAGCGTCTGAATTCCTCTGGGTAAGTCCTCCTTCCTCCCTCGTCCTCTTTCCCTCTGCCAGCGCCGCTTCCCATCCTTTCTCCCTCCCATCCTGTCGTCCTCTCTCCCTCTTTTCTTGCCCTCCAGCCCCCCTCTGAATCGCATGCTACAGGCCAGCCAGCAGCTGCAAGCTAACAAGTGCGTCCCCATCGCACCCATGGCATCCCTCAGCTTCGCTTCCAAGGATGAGCTCCTGGCGGCGGCAGCAGAAGTTTGATCGAGGACAGAAGGGGAGGAGCGACGAAGTGAGAGGAGAGGAGGGGGAGAGGAAGAGGAAGGAGGAGCTTGGAGAGTGTCGGTGGAAGCAACGTTGACTCAGATGCTTCATTCTCCTTACAGCATCACATCAATCTCACATGCCTGCATGTCCCTTCTACCTTACACCCTCCTTCCTCACAAACACTTCCCAACATCAGATGCCCATCACACGCCTGTCCCCTCCCTTCCCCTCCATCAGATTTCGTACTCGTACAGGTCGCCATAGATCGTGAAGTGTGACGCATATCGCATCCCCATGATCAGGCTCAGCGCCGCTAGCGCTCCCATCGGCCAAATCTTCCCCGTCCTGTGCACTCGCGCGGCCTGCCATGAGCAACTCTCAGCCTCCTCCTGCTCAGCTGATGTCTCACCGTCATCCCGAACATGATCACCGACACAAGGAGCGCAATCACGAAGGGATAACCGCGAACCCCCGGGCCCCTGCTCCAGGAGGCGTCAGTGGCAAGGTAGGCCGACACCATGTCGACGTTCACGAGGGAGCAAGAATGCGAGCACGAGGAGATATGGAGCAGATGGCAGGAGACGGGGAAGACGAAGGGGAGGACAAGGACTCGCGAGGAAGGAAGGAGCGAGCTTGCGCAGCGGTAGCAAGCATGACCTCTCTTTCATCCTCAGAGCAGCCCAGCACAGAAGAGTTCCGAACAAGAGACCCCACCCTAGCGCACCTTTGCTTCCCCTGCGAGCTCATCACATCCTCCTCTCTCCGTCCTCTCCTCACTTAGCCTGGTAGGTGAAGATCCCGCCGATGGCAATGGTGGCCCCATAGACATACGTCAGCGCTGGCATGCTGTCCAGGGGCAGAGAACCGCTCCTCCTGCCAATCGATATTAGATGTTCAACAAACGACCATTCTTGTGCTGTTGCAGATGAGATTGAGAGCTTCCACGCTTCTCTCTTCTCTAATACCTCATGGACATCGATGCCATCAGGCATAACCAAGTTCCCTCCCCCTCTTCCTCCTCCCCTTGTGCTACAGATTTGTGGATGTTCTTGTCTCAACCATCTATTTTCTACCTATCATCTTTTTTGTGTTCCCACAAAGTAACAAACATGGTCAGGCTTGAATCATCACAACCGTTGTATGGGCATGGGCATGGGCATGGGCATGGGCATGGGCATGGGCATGGGCATGGGCATGGGCATGGGCATGGGCATGGGCATGGGCATGGGCATGGGCATGGGCATGGGCATGGGCATGGGCATGGGCATGGGCATGGGAGGCGTTCTGTTCATCGAAATCTTCTCGCTTCCATGAGGTGCGGTGACGTCGCTTTCCCTTCCATCAACCTCAGCGGCTAATTTATCATCACTGCCCCGTCCCTCTCCTATCTAATCAGGCTGGGGCAGGTTGTACAGTCTGTGGCCGGGCCGGGCCGGGCCGGGCCGGGCCACTGAGCCTAAACCCTCAACTTGGCCGGGACTCATCTCATGTTGAGGCGGATCTGGTTTACTACAGTAAAAGAGTAAAAAGTCAACGAAGCGGCAACCCTTACAAAAGTCTCCCAGCCTCCATCGGGATGGTAGGGTGGGTCATCTGTACCCCTCCTTCACAAGTAGTACAAGGGGGTACTTCCGACCGACCACCGCAACAAATTGCGTTTTCCGGGGGTACTCTACTCTACCTCTAAAACTGTCCGCATCGTCCCCCATGCTACACCCGACCCCCGTTCCTCCTCCTCCTCCTCCTCCTCCTCCTCCTCCTCTTCGTCCCCTACAACCTTCCACACTTGATTAAAGTCTCCCTCCTCAATGTTCCTCTACTCATTCTTCACGTCCTCTTGCACCTTCTTCTGCCACCTCTATTGTAGCGTTGCCTTTGAATCCCCCAGGGAGCTGCCCTCACCAGTTTTTCCATCCCCTCAACCCTGCCTCCGTCCCTGCATTGGCATTTTCTATCTCATTGTCTTCTCCTTGATGCGCACATAATACTGCTGTTAATGAGATTCTTCTATCCTCTGTACCTTCTCCCGATTCTTTCACCAGTCGCATTACACAAATATACACATCAAGTTTTGGACCTCGCATCATGCTCGTTCAGAAACTACTCCATCCTCACCATTGTCGTATTGAATTTCTCCTCCTCTGGATTCCCAGTATTCTTTGTCCTCCGATCTTATGCTTTCTTTCATTTTGTTCTTCAAATCAAGTAAACTTGACCCTTCAGCATGATGTATTCCGATCATTATCGGAATAATGGCTCAATTTTCCTCTAGAGCATTTATGTTCTCCTTTCCTGATAGATTTGCATATTTGATATTTGTTTCATTGACAGCCGCAATGATACCCTTCGTATAAGGCCTTACTTGTGATTTGGTAATTGCATCTCTTCGGCAATTTGTGTGGCTGATGTCATGTTGGCAGTTTTGAATGACAGACCTAAAGAGTGAAAGTATGGGGAACAACACAGTCAAGAAGTGCACAGATGAAGATCTGAATTTACACGATTGTTTCCTTTACAATCTTGTAGAGGAATGCATCAAGTCGTTCTCAACCGAGGGGTAGTCATGAACCCCGCTGATTGCTTTACATGTGGACTAATTTTATTGTTATTTAGGAAAGCTGATTTGACAAGACTAAAAGAAATCATGCATAGGATACAGTGCAAGGATCTTGGGCTCGATGGTTTGTCTAGCTGGTTTCCTTTTCCGTTGAAACTAAGTACAAACCAGAATCCTGCAGGACCGATGAGATTGAATTTATCGATGTTCTTGAAGACGAAGGTTTGAACGACTTGTTTTTGAAATTTAATCTGCTCAAGATTACTCAAAGCTTTTACTATCGGAATATTCGTATTGCCCAAAGGAAATAGACTGCCATTGCATGGTAGGTGCGAAGCCTTGAATGTTTTCAACTAACTGTTGCGTTCCAAATTCAGATCATCCAGATATGACTGTCTTCAGCAAAGTACTGTATGGAACAATGCTAGTAAGTAGCTACGACAAACAAGATTATTCAACTCCAACGACAGAAGCAAACTTTCAAGAACCAATACCTGTAACTGTACGCACAACTGATAATGTTTCCCAAATGTGATTTTTTTGAAGATACGTGATGTCTTGAAACCAGTGAAAGAGTCAGATGGCTGTCAGATGCTACTTGCAACCTCCAACGGCAACTTACATGAGGCGTGTATGAAATTCCTCTGCATGCACCTGCATAATACCCGTATTTTCAGTTCTATGCAGAAACGGATTGCGCAGTCCTTGATGTGCTTGCTCCTCCGTATAATTACGATTGTGGACGACCATGCAATTACTATCGCATTGTTGGGCATGGCAAACAAAAGCCAGATCCCAGCAAGATAGCAGATGTAAAAATGAATTTGGATCCTGAGTCCAAACCTGGTGACGTAAGTGTGAGAACTTTATTCAGTTGGATTATTAGACTGATTCGCTTGTTTCCTTGCAGGATATGTGGTTGCTTGCATGTGAAGCTCCGCACGAATTTTACACTGTAAGGCGAGCCTACACTGGCCCACCTCTGGATCGTTACAAGGTGAAGAAGGGGGCAGTAGCGTAGATTTTGTAGTTTTCTGGTTTCCACTAGATTTGATTCTTACCAAGGTCAACGCAGTTTGGCTTGTGTTTTGCTTTCTTCTCTCGATGCTCAATATGCACATCTCGATAAAAGAAAGAAACTTAAATGCTTTCATGAAGCTTTCAAAAGATTCTGATTTTGCAGAAGGGGGATCATCCTCGAAGTATACAGTCTGAGGAATTCTTCAAAGAGCAAAAAGATCTAAAGATGGACCATCGCTTTATTGATTTCTATTTTCTCTTCTTGCAATCAAATCATGGTTGGGACGACTAGCTGATTCTCTTTCATCGTGAAAATGACAACGAGGATTGCCAAATTACACGCATTTTCATCAGCTTACAATTGCACAGGTTCATCTCCTCAAGTGTTTAAATGTTGATGAACGATGAAGATTTGGATTTCACACTTTGATTAGGAGAACGTGACATAGCATATCGAACCACGTCCTGCAAACTGTGCCATCATTTCAACATCCAATACGGAGAATGCTTACCTTGTATATATTTGGTAGATACCTATTTTGACCACTGATGTCTTCATCTGCATACCAGGACTCGAATTTGGGTAGAACCTACGGTAGCATATCTCTAGTCAAAAGCATCAAACTTTGAGATTCTACGGATATTCGCTACTGAATGTATTCTTTACCGCGTGTTTCAAATCTTCCCCACAACGCGTCTGTTCTGATTCAAAAATGCCAATCGATGAACAGATGAAGCTGCTATCCAACTGTTGGTTGATCGCATTGCTCTCAATCATGGGTTGTGAAACAGACATGCTTGGCTTGCAGATTTCGGCACCGGCTGATTTGACAAGAGCAAATGGAAGGAGAAGATTTGCAGTGTATGAAAGAATCCAGCAACAAGAGGGAAAGACAGTGATTGACTGGGGAGATGAAACGGAGACGAAATTGGTGCAGCAGGAGGGCGAACAGTTGACAGAAGGACGGAAGGTGAAGAAGATGACACGTACGAAGAGGGAGAGGGAGGGAGAGAGCGAGAGGGAGAGGGGCAGGGCGGGGGCGGGGGGAAGAAGAGGAAGAGGAAGAGGAAGAGGAAGAGGGGCCAGGGTTTCGGGGTCGGGTCATTGGCTGGTTTTAAGGAGGGTGGGGTAGGGGGAGCTGATCGTGTCTTTGCAGGATGCGATCACCCCTACCAACTCCCTCTTGGGATCACTGAAGCAGCTCAAGAGAGGGGGTGGGGTCATCCTTCCCGCCAAAAAAATGGTGTCTTTTTTCCTTTGCTGGTGTACTGGACTACCCCACCCATATTCCATGAGTTGCCCAAGGGAAAGACGTGGGTAGGGGGTTGCATGGACAGTTGTTGAAGACCGAAGGAATGGACGGGTGGGGCTACGGTCCACATTCTTTTTTGATGAGGCCCTTGGAACTGTTAAGATGACTTTTCTCTCTCGAGCAGCTCTCAGACTGGTAGAACGGAGAGTTTCCCGCGCAATCCCTGAGAATTGCGACCCCAGACTTGATCCACCCGACCCCCTTGAATGACAGGGAACACGGGGATATGGAATTTATCATCACCCTCCCTTGGATACAATCTGGGGTACACCAGACCGGTCCATTTGTGTTCCTCTACAGGGGTATGAAGACAACCGTACCCCCCACAATCGCACCCTTGCTACGGTACCTGACTTTTTTTTTCCCTCCCCACAGTTTATAAACTCGCTTCCCGCCCTCGAACCCACAAACCTGACGCGCGCGCGCTGCTTCCACCACCTCGTCGTCCTCCTCCTCGCCCTTCTTCTTTCTTCTTTGATTCCTAGCTCTCACTGTCCTCGCCTCACTGCCTGCCGACGAAATCTTTCTCGTGGTCCAGAACGAATTCTCTGTTATCCTCCTTCATCCGAGGACTCGTCTCTATTTCTCAAGCTATATTCATCAGCATGGTGAAAAGTATTTTTGACCTTGGGGAACAAATTCAGAACCTGATTGGCTATGACGAGCCGCTTAGGTAGGCAACCCAAATGTACAACACGGTTCTCAGCATTGATGATTTTTTTTGGAACAGTCCTAAAATTTCGGTCGAAAAGCCTGATATGGAAATGAGAGCATCGGGATCGCCAACAAATGTCGAAGCATTTGTAGATTCTCAAGTGAACATGAAAACTAAGACAAACGCTCCCCAACTTCCGCAAAATTTTGCTCGAAGAGATCTTGCTCGCTTGATGAATACCATGGTGAATTGGATTATGAATCGATTGCGTTTTCGGCTTATCTTCTTCAGGTCGTCGTTGTCACATCAGAGAAAGTTCAGACTGTTCCTCAATTTCATGGTCTGTGGACCATATTTGAGGGAAAACTAGTTGCAGTCTCCGACAAACAGAACATTGTTATCGAGAGACCGGGAAATCGGGTATCATTTTGGGAAATCATGAACATCTTTGTAAGACTGATGCCAATACATGCAGTCACGACTTCAGTTGGAGGCAAAGATTGTGAAAGGTGTTTACCCACGACAGCCTGGCCATGAGCCTTGCTCTTTTTTCTATGATACTGGAAGATGTGCATTCGGTCCAACTTGCCGAAAAGATCATAATCCGGCAGTCATCAGTGAAACGGGTATCATTGCCTTGAAAGGTTCTGATCAAGAGGTGATTTGTCCAAGACAGCAATTGGTGCTATAAAATCAAAACTTCGTTGAGAATTACTTGTTCTGATACGAGCTTGATTGCAGACATTACATTTGGCAATGATTCCGGAAGATTCAACAGAATCTACCCTGACTCAGGTTGAAATGATTATGCCAAACAAATGCAAGTGTTTTAAATGCTTTAAATGCTTGCAGGAGTTCCGGAAGTTTGGCACCATCACAAGTATCAACATCTGCCAAACAAGTTCTCTTCTTTCCTCCGGAATACGTTTGAGGTGACCCAATTCTTGTTGCTTTTGCAGCTGGCTGATTTTTTCTACACTACAGATATGCCTTTGTGTCATTTGCGACTGAGAAACAAGCGCTACACGCAAAACAGACCCTAAATGAAGATAAGTAAGTTTTCTTCATTACTCCATATTACTGTTACAATTTGACATAAATGACAGGAATTCGTTTTGGTATTGCAAGATCCAATTTGCCAAAAGAGTCACAATGTCACCTTACGCCTCGAATACTGAACTAAACAGAGATTTAACTCTTCCAAGGAGACATATTCCTGCCTTACGTTCAAATCCGATATTTGTTGGGCTCAATTCATCATCAGCACTTACTGTTGAGCAAGAAGTTTTGACAGCGCTACAGCCGTTCGGAACGATTAAGAACCTGATAGTGGATTCGCAGTTCCGTCATGCAATCGTAACATTCAAGTACAGTAAGTTTCCATTGGGATGTATCTTATATTGACTTGAGTTGCGTCAGAATGCGATGCTGAGGAAGCAGTAAGAGTGCTTGCAGACGAGAAATCTTTGATTGCATCCTACACCCACCAAAAATCTACGTGTCTCATCTATGCACATCAAAAATCAAAGTCAAGCACCCAAGCACTTGTTGATGACATCAAGATTGAGATGTAATCCTCTTTGCATCTCACAATATTACCAGCCAGGGACTGACGTTATTCATTTGAACAAATAGGCGAAATTTTTCAGGAATTTCGTCAATTGTAGTCCATCAGAATGACTATGCTTTGATCGAATTCGATACCGTCAGCGATGCAAATCACGCTTTTCACTGGATAATTGCAAGGAAGAACTCAAATTTAGTGCTCGATTTTCATCCCTTGGAGGTAAATATCCAATGTTTCTCATAACATATTTGCATTCTAATTTGTTGGGGCAAGGATCGAGAACGGCTCCGACGACAATTCAACAGATATCACGCATTGACACAGCAGAAGTCAGATATTCTTAAGACAATTCAAAATGCTTGGGGCAGCAAAGGCTCTTTGCAAGTACAAATCAACCATATGAAATCGATTGATGTAAGCTGCAAGAATTCTTTGACAACGATGCATGATCATTGAATTCCAGGATGAACTACGTGCTAAAGAAGGAATACTTACAAAGCTAGTTGTGCAAGCTTTGAAACAAGCCCAATATTTGGAGTCAGCAAAGACAAGGGATGGTCTTGCAATGCAAATTGGAATGGAGGCAATGATTTTCTGTGAATGCATGCACGGAAGTCTCGAGGACTTCATAATTGCTCAGGTTAGTCATTTCTTGAGTATTCTTTCAACATCACGTGACTCCACATCCAGAACGTGGATGGCTTACGAACTGATTTCGGGGGCTCAACCCAACATCTACAAGGTCTTCACATCACATCTTTGTATGAGGATCTTCTGCCACATGTTCAAGATTGTAAGCTGGATCAAGTGAACTTTTGAACTGTTTTGACTGAAGCGCTAAAATATGATTCATCTACTAATCATTGGATATCGTAAGATTGCAATAAATTGGATTGTGTATTTCAATTAGTGATGGCTCGTCCTGTGCTTGCTGCAGAATGTCATCTACTTGATATTCATCTTGTTTCGTCATCCCTTCCTTGGGACAATCTTCTGTCCCTCCCCTTACATCGATAGATTCACAGTCTCGCTCTGTTACTTCCTTCCATTCTCATCTCATGATTTCCGTCCTCTCTTTCCCTTCCCTTCTCGAACACTTCTCCTTCCCATCTCCTTCCATTCTCTAACACTTCTCGTTCCATCCTCTTCTCCTCCCCTTTTCTTCCCCATCTCCTTTTCCTTCTCCTTCTCCTTCCTATCTCCTGCTCTTCTCGAACACTTCTCATTCTCCCACCCTCCTTGCCTTCTATTTCGCTTTCCCTTCTCTGACACCTTCAAGGTTCGACTAGTTTTGACTCTTTTTACCACGTTTGCCTCTTTGACTTCAAATTTGAAAAGAAAATTCAATTCATCCAGGGAAATATTTCAAATTTGACGAGCCGGTGAAGATTTGTTTCGGTCGTGGCCGAAACGCCGCCGATGTAGATCCCGTGGCTAGGGAGGAGGGAGGGAGGAGAGGAGGGAGCACCTCGCTACACGACAAAGTAGATGAGGGAGAAGAAAGACATGGCACATGGGTCATAAGAGATCTGAAGTTCTCTTGCTCCTCAGCGGTAGGATGAAACTGCCGACCGCTGAATGTTGTGAGCAGGCATGGCGGGGGGATCCTTCTTCGGTTGGCTGGAGGGTGAGATGAGGAGGAGGAGTGTGAGAGCTCTGAACAGATTGATGCATGTGGGAACAACAGGATGCTGCTCGGCTAAGGTCATCAACCCGATGAGAGACGATGCAGTGAGGATGGAGGAAGACTTTCAAGAATCCAACCTGAGGAGGCGATCTGATGGGGCGCACCGGAACGACCCTGCCACTCCCAGGGATCCTGGCACCCGACACGTTGAGTCCTCAGGTTATGACTGCCTCCCCTTGCCCTCTGGGCAGTCGCTCGTTCCCCCTTCCGTCCTCAATTAAGGCTGAACCTGCTCCTCCTCCCACAGGCCTCGCCAAGTACTCCCCGCGCGTGATAGGAACGGACGCAGAGAAAGTGGGGCTGGGGATCGCCTTCCAGCAGATGGTAGCGCTGAATCAAGATCCCCGTCCTAAGTTAGCCGTCAAGTCCCTCGCAATCGAATCTCCTGCCTTCCACAGCGGGCAGATCGAGGTGGGCCCTGCTTAGCGACTCTTGAAGGGCTCGGGTGACTGGCAGGAGCAGGAAGGAGACGTGCTGATTTCCATCGACGGGAGGTCAGTGAGAGGGATGACAGGAGCTGAGATCGCCCCCTACATCCTGGTGAGAAGGAGCAGGAGCCGTCGGTCGATGCTGACGCGCTGTCAGGGCCCGCAGGGCAGCTGGGTGGAATTATCGTTCGAGAGGGGTGCAATCAACGGCGGAGCTCTGAAGGTTGTGAATGTGAGCCTGCAGCGAAGATGGAATCGAGTCTCGAGTACTTGAAGTTTGTTGAAGGGCTGGAGGAGGGCAGGGGGTTGGGGAATGTGGATGGTGGAATGGAACAGATTTATATCATCTACAGTAAATCTTCATCTGGAAGTTGTTTGTTGCCACTTGGCCTTGCTCTGCTCGAAGAACCCATTGTAGTCCATCCGCAGGAGCAGCTGGAGTGGTGGAAAGTCACGAAGGAGGTGGAGGGCAGAGCGCAGAATCTTACCTGGGAGAGGACTGGCGTCGTGTGCGCTTGTGAAGTCTTCAAGACGGTGAAAAGGAGGAGGGCGTTGCGTTGGAACCTCAGCCTGATCTCCGACAGCTCCTCTCCTGTCACTGAAGGAGCCTCGATGGAGTATCGGGCTCCGATGAGGTCCTCGGCACAAGGCTCCATGTCCCCTGACACTGAAGTCTTGAGCGGCTTGTACACAGTCACTTCCCTGTCCTCCTCGCTGAAGTTTGTGATGACGTTAAGCTCCCCATTCACCGTGATCGGACATCCCAAGTAGGACAGCCCACCTATCCCAACCCCACCATTACCTTCAGCTCCTCCTACTCCTGCCTCTCCCAGTGTGAACTTCTGCCTGCTCTCTGCGCTAGACACGATCCCCTTCTCTACCGTCTTCCACTGCGACATACGTCGGGCGAAGTTCAGCGCAATCTTCAGGAGGATGTTGACAGTCTGCCATGCGAGCTTGTTCCGCGTCAGACAGTCAGAGGATATCCTCTCGAGGAACGTCACGTGCGCCGCTCGGATGGTCTCGAAGTCGTCACTGGACCTGATCACGTTCCTTGCGATCTCGAACTGCGCGTCGAGCACGTCGCACTGCAGGTAGTAGAGCAAGTTGTTGACCAGAAACGCCATCTCCGCTCTCACCGTCCACAGGTTCACCATGTGTCTTCCCGAGCTCGACGCCTTGTGTAGCACGCTGCTGATGGCTCTCCCGTACCTCCCGCTCTGCGTCTGGTGCCATGCGAACTGCAGTTCAGCCTGCGCGCGCTTGACGCGGAGGAGGAAGGAGAACAGGATGTTATACTGCTTCATGACCTCCGGTGTGAAGAGCAGAGTCGAGAGAGGCCACTCCATATCGTAGGCCATTCGCAGCTTGTCAAGCCCTTCCTCTTCCCCTTGCTCCCCCTTGTCCCCTTGTACCTTCTCTTGTTCTTGCAAGGTCCCGATGACCAGCCGCGTTCGAGCAAACATCTCGTCCTCATCCGCATAGCTCAGCAGCGCTGCTCGCCTAAACGGCTCGTTCACGTCATGCTCGGCGGTGTCAGAGGCAGGGAGGGACAGGAGGCCCCTAGTGTTCTCGATGAAGGCCTGGTAGAGGTCCCCGCGGGCGAGCAAGAAGTAGTCCTTCAAGGCCTTGAAGTGCAGCGGCAGCCGAGCCCGCTCCACCACCAGCCGCCACAGGCGCTTGGAGAGGTACTGGTGAACCTCGTCGACTAGCGACTCGAACTTATTACGGTGAAATGAGCCTTCCTTGCTGATCGCCTTCATCTGACCGTTGAACCTGCCGATCTGCTCGGCCTCAGGCCGATCCTCGGGGCGAGTGTTGGGCTGCATCAGGACCCTCATCGCCACCCCACAGAACAAGATCTTCTCGAGCATGACGGCTGACAGGATTCCAGGCTTCATTCTGAGGTTCAGCTCGAACAGCTGGTCCTCGTGGTGCTTCCCCGACATCCTCTGGTGGCTCGTGCCTCCCGTTAGCTGCCTCTCCTCCACCCTCCTCTGCCTCGGGGAGATGAAAAACTCCCCATGGGGATCGCTGAGGATCCCATAGATCATCCAGGCGCTGACTTGGCTGTAGAGCACGATGTTCATCCTCCCAAGGACCTTCTCCAGCGCATACTGGACAACCGAGATGCCGCTGCAGGAGTGCTTCGAGACAAGGTCGAGCATCTGGCAGCCGTGGGATTTGAGCTTGCCGATGTCTTGGATCAGCGTCTTGACGTAGGGAAACAAGATCTCAAAGTCTGCAGCCTCCGACAGCAAGTAGGTCAGCGACAGGCCAGGGTCCTCGATCAAGGCCTGCTCCACCCGCAGCACTGTCGACCGGTACACGTCCAACATCTGTACACGAACATCAGCACTGCCCCGACCCTCTCGGACATCTCCAGACCTCGTTCAGCCCTGAAACAAACGCCCTCAAGTAGAGCCCTTTGTGATTCGCGTCCTTGGGCTTTTCCTCCTCCATGTTTTGCTGTACATCTTTGATGAAGGAGTTGATCACCGAGTAGTTGTATCCTATCGCAGCGATACGAGTGAGCAGCTCCTGTCACACCAGCTGTCAACTCCTTCCCCCCTCTCGTCCTTACCCATTTCACCTTTTCACTGTCCGCCAGGAACTTGGCGTGCTTGTTGACCACGTAGCCCTTGTTGCTCTCATCCTGCGTCAACCACTCAGGACGATTCTCGGTCGGACATGGCAAGTCAAGCACCTCTGCTTCACAGACTATCGATCCAGGATGCCCGAGCAGGGCAAACAGCACCTCGTGGTAGACCATCCCTACCGCCGACTCGCAAGCTCTGGCATCGCTCTAGCTGCTCGTGCGCTCCTTGCGACTGGCCCACAGCGTCAGTGATGTTAATCGCCTCCCTACTTGCCCCTCATACCATCCGTAACTCCTCCCTGCTAACTCCTCCCTCCCTCCCGCCACCTCCCTCCCTCCCGCCATTTCCCCGACGGGCTCATGTTTCGCTCGAAAATTAAAGTTTTACTTAAAATTTTAACTAAAAATTTAATCAGCCCGACTTCAACGGTTTGGGCCGGGCCCCCCGCGTGTCACGCGGCCGGGCTGACTGCCAGGCTCCTTCGCAGTCAGTCAACGGTCAGCAGTTCCGGGCTGGTCCAGTCGTGTCGGAATTCAGGCCTGATCTGGGTCAAGCTCAAGGAGATGTTGTGAAGAATCGCCCGGGCGATGCGATGCATCCGAATTCTGTGCTCAGCGATATGCATCATGGCGTCGTCGATGTTCTTAGAAGAGTACTCCTCCTTGAGAATCACTTCCTCCTCCGAGGGCTCACGGCCAGCAAGGTCTCGGATGTTAATGTTGGCGATCGGCTTTCTCAGCGATTTGCTCAGTGACTTGAGCGTCTGATGGTTCCATATTCCTCCAAGGCAGTGCTGTGCCTTGGGATGGTTGATAGTCATCTCGCAGCCACCACCTGAAGTTCCTGAACGAGCCGTCAGCTTGCGTATGGTGTGGATCGACCCATGCTTGACAAATACCCATACGTTCTCTTGAAGGTCTTCCTGCAGGGTTCTGTATTTCTTGAAGATCTTGTCAGAGAGGATTTGCTCGGACTCCCGGAGGTGTCGGTATGGCTCTTTGGAGTGAACAGCAACTCCAAGAAGAGTCGGCATGTTCGGCCCAACCCTCAGATGAGCGTTGACATCTTTAATCCTCTCTCTGGTGCGATGGTACAGGTCTTGCTGCATCTGGATCCAAGCTTGTCGATTCTTCATATAGTATTCGTCCTGGGAATCATAGTTGTCATCTTTTTGTGACCTCAATCCTTGAATCAGCCGGCAATTGAGGTCAACCATGCACTCGATGCCGTCAGGATCCGGCCAGGTGGACAACAGAAGGTAATCGGACTGCATGATGACGCATTGATTGAGTTGGCTTGAGTCCGGATTCAAGTCGACCATCACGATGTCTGCCTTGACATCCTGTGCTGCCTGTCTGATCAGCCAATTGACGCTCCCATGAATCCTCTGGTAGCTAGCGTCGTTCTCGAACTGATTTGCGACAGCAATTCGATTCGATATCTGTGAGGTGTTGTGGTGCCCGATCACAAGGTGTACAGATCCCTGAGCCTTGCCGCGCTTCTTGGAGATGATGTGCTGTATCTTGCAGGCCTTATCGAATCGACGCTTCTCGAACTTCTTCATCAGGGTGGGATTGGATTCTCGCATCGAGGGATCAGGGTTTAGGAATTCAGGCTGCCCTTGTTCCTGTATGAGGACTGGAGTCAGCTTCTTGGGCATAGTGTCGGTATCCTCTGGGTTGACTATCTCAGTCAGACCGTTCAAGACCTCTCTGATGATCGGCAAGCCGTTGTCATCCTCCACTGGCAAGCGATCTCCATTCGGGCCGCCGACACGTATTCTCTTGGAGAATGTTATTTCCTTCTCAGGATCCTCCAGGTACAACAAGGACTTTGTGAGAGAGCCTTGAGAGTCAAGATCCACCAGCAGAATGTTGAATCCCATCTCTGCCAGAGCAAAGCCTACCTCGACGCAAGTGGTTGTCTTCAAGACCCCACCCTTGTTGTTGTACGACGACAGCACCAGTGGCTTTGCAGGCCCGTCTTCTTGCTTTCTCAACGTCTGGAGGAGGCTGTCAGCGATGTCGAGATTGATCTCTCTGTCCATTGTATCCTTCAAGTCCTGCTCATTGTCAATCTTTCTTTCATGCTTGCTTCCTGGCGGTGTAGCCATCGCGGCGCGGACAGGAGTACGGTACCCCCTCTTGTCCCATCATGGCATTGACTACCCCACCTACCGACTGCAGAAAAGCCCAGGGCAAGCAAGGTGGAAAAAGTGCTGCTAGGCTAGGGGGATAGGGGTCCCCGATTATGGCGGTTTCGGAGCTTCGACATTGCGGGCCGGCCTCGCTGGAGCTAACTACAAGTCACTGAAGTCAGCGAACTTGACCCGCTATGGTTCTGCACCAGCAACAAGACCGAAGTCCCAGCTGCTGTCTCTTGTTTTTGATGACCTCTTGAACTGAGGGGGACTTGAAATGCCTCTCTGATGCGACTAGTGCAGCATGGCGGCGTTCCAGTAGGAGGGGAGGAGGAGGAGGAGGGGAAGAAGGAGAATGCGTGACATGCGTGTACGACTCGTGTTGCTCGCTTGTTGTGCTGTGCTCGGGGCGAGCACAGTCTGTAGCCCAGTGCACTCAGAGGCTGGAGGGGTAGCAGGAAACGAATGCCTGCGCTTGAGAGGAGGGGCGGATTCAGGGGAGAACAAAGGCCAGAACAAGAGGAGATTGAAGCTGAGGTACTGGAGGGACGAGCTCGGGTTCCGCGTGTACACCTCCAAGAAGATCGATCCGAATGGCTTCCCGACATACCCCGCGCACCCTCCCCCGTTCCATCCAAGTTCGTTGGCAACCCTCCTCGTCTCTTGTTCAGGACCTAAGCTGTGAAGCAGGTGATCTCGAGTTCTGCAGGTGTGAGGATGAGGTGCATGTTGAGAGTTGCTCTGCAAGTGAGGAGTGTTGACAGGCAGAGAGCGGCCTGGAAAGAGCGCCATGGCCTCTTCGACCCTCTCCTCCTCGAGGTCGACAGCTCTGTCCTCCTCCCAACCTCTCATCGTGTCGTAGGAGATCAGGAAAGAGAGGATGACGCGTCTTCCTCCAGACGGCATGGACTTCGAGGGGGACGCACTTCCCCAAGAGCTCTTCAGGTCGTACCTGTTCAGGAAGGCAAGAGGGTGAGGCTGTTGAGAAGCGAAGAGTCCGTGGAGGTTCTGAAAGCTTGCTATCAGTCCCACTACGTCAGACGTTCCTCTTTACTCCAGCGATCATGATGAGCTAGTGACCATCGACGAGTTCCTCAAGTTGAAGGCGGCTGCTTGGGAAGACACGGTGAAGGAGCATGCTTGTGGGCAGGGCCGTTACGCTGATGTGCTTCCCCGGTAGCAGGAGGGAGGCAAGAGGGGGGAGGAGGAGGACGGAGGAGACTCGGGCACTGTCTTCGCAGACTACAGCGAGCTGATGAAGAGAAACGTGACAGTGATTGACGGGAACACGACGAGCTACGTTGAATTGAGCATGCAAGTTCTTCATGGTGCGGATCAAGGAGACGGCAGGGAGGGAGGAGAAAGTGAGGGAGATGCAGAAGAAGGAATGGTTGAGGAAGGAGACGACAGGGGAGAGAAACTTTCGGAACATGCTGCTGACGTCGCTACCACCAACAGACTTGAGAAGAAATCTCTTGGCAAGAAGGAGGGGAAACTAAAGGAGAAAACATCAGTGAAAGGAGAAGGACTGTCGCTGAAAAAGAAGAACAGGAAGCAAAGAACGCCGAAGGAGAGTTGATGAGTTGATGGAATGAATTGAAAGCCCTCGTCGCATCTGCATCATCTCATTGCCCGGCAACATCCGGTCCCTCGTGGGTGTAATGATCTGTTTCTAGCATGTCACCAAGACATGTTGAGAGTTCAAGATCTTGTTGGTTCATGTGTGAAGGAGCGAAGCATGCGTAAAAAAAAAAGATGTCTCCTTGAGTCGAACCATCCATTCACGAATGTTTGCTGATGTTCAACCAATTGAGACTGTAGATCTTAACTTGCAACTTTGCATTTTCTTTTGAAGAGAAGTCGAGCCGAGCCGAGCCGAGCGGAGACGGGAAGGGACGGGAAGGGAAGGGAAGGGACGGGACGGGAAGGGAAGGGAAGGGAAGGGACGAGAAGGGAAGGGAAGGGAAGGGAAGGGAAGGGAAGGGCAAGGAAGGGAGGAGATTGCAGGAATTCAGGCAGGGAAGGAGAAAGGTGTGGGAGGCAGTGGCACAAGCTCATGATAAGGAGAGACCCAGGAGTCTCGTCGGTCTATGTACATCAGATCTCGATCTTGTACATTGCATTGCGAATGTTCCTGCTGAAATCTAAGCTCCAAAAAGCGGGAGGGAGGGCATCGGAGGAGAGGCGAAGAAAACGAATTGGTGCAGAGAGGAAGGAGGAATCGAGGAGCGAAGTTATGAAGCTGAGAACGCAAAGATGCTGGGGAGGCAGCGTGAGAGGATGAGTAAATACCGCGGAGGAGGGCAAAAAATCTTGCTGAAAGGAGATTTTTCCGATGCTGATGGGACCGACTGCGTGAGAATGGAGGAACAGTGAAGGGATCGTAACTTACGGGTGCAAAGAATGGCAAGAAACTGGTTTGAGATCACTGGGACGATCTTTGTGATAGGATGGGCGAGCGACGAGGAGGAGTTCTTGCGTCAGAAAGTCAACACCTCCTCCTCCCAGGCCCGGCTGCTCACCGAAGGAGGCAGGGAGAAGTGGCCCTGTGGCGTTGACGGGACTGAGTCGGAGGATCTCGACTAAAGCAGGAGGGTTAGGATGAGGAACAGAATGGGGAGGAGGAGGAGGAAGGGAGGAGGGGACGGAGGTCGAAAGACTGAGGCAAACATGAAGAATGGTGAGGCAGGTACCGGTGTGGCTTCCTCTCCCTTCATATCCCTAGCAGGATGCCCAGCGCTCAACCGAGTTGAAATCTGTCGCCTCGTCAGCTCCCTCCTTGCTCGACCCTCAAATCCACTCACCTGCTTCGTCAGCAAGTCCAGCCCCACGTCGATCGCCCCACTCGCCGAACTGTCAAAGCCATGCCCTCCTATCATCTGATGGTCTTGGAAGTCAGAGGAGAGAAGAAATGGGGAAGGAGAAAGGAAGGAAGAAGGCGACAACCGGGAACAGTGCGGAGGGAGGAATGCGAAGGAACACACAGAGGAAGAAGGAGATGGAGCGCCCTGAAGATTATTCAGGGAGGAAAGAGGGAGGGAGAATGAACGGGGAGAGGAAGAGCAGAACAAGGTTAGAGTTAAGCTACCAGGGCAAGGTTTGAGTTAAGCTGCTCGACTTGCTCCTCCACAATCCAGCACTCCAAGTCGCATACTCCAGCTCCCCGCTCGCCTTCCTTCATCCTCCACCGGTTGTCCGCCAGCAGTAGTCGCCCCAGCCATCCTCCTCCCAGCTCCCTCTCGAGGGGGGACGGAGTTCGGATCAGCCCGGTCCCCCATCCCTTCCGCTCGGCCGCCACAAGGATGGACTGCTTCACCTTGCCCACTACCTCCTGCACATCCATGCTCGACTTGAGGAGACGCTCGTCTGAGAGACCCTTGAACGCAGTCTCTACTCCCTCCTGCACCACCTGGCAGATCGAGTCGGCCCAGCGGATAGACAGGAAGTGATTGCTGTCCTGGTCCAGCCCAAGAAAGGAGGACAAGGACGTCTGAGTGAGGTTGTGCTCTCTCCGCAGGAGCAGGAGCTTGCAGTGCATCAGGGTTCTCGCTACGCATACGCAGTAGACAGCAGCGATGGTCCTGGCGATGCTGCTGGTGACAAGCATCCTTCTGAAGAGGAAGCGATTCTGGTGGTGGAGCTTGTCTGCCTCCTGAACTTTCACCCTGAGGCTTTCAAGGTCGAAGAACTGCGTCAACTTCGATCGGATCCTCTTCAGCTCCAGGCAGAACGCTGCATGCCCGTCTCCATCTATCAAGGATCTGCTGAGGAACTCGAAATCATCGTCCTCCTCCTCTGTGTACTTCTCCTCCTTCTCCTCCTTCCCTTCCTCTTTCTCCTTCTTCTGCTTCTCCTCCTCCATTTCTCGTCTCACAAACTTCACAAGATCGTCATCACTCGGAAAGAGCCGCCCTGAGTTCCACAACAACAACATGGTCCCCCCTACTGCGCAAGCAATAATCTTCGTGCGGTGCTTGTTCAGGAACGATTTGATGTCGGCGACGAGGAGAGAGGACATCATTCCTCCTGTAAATGAAGGAGTGAGAAGCAAGCACACCAGATACTAGGCATCAACGGGCAAGGAAGATTCTTTCAAAGACCTGAATCCCAAAGGAGAAGGGAAATAATAAAACTCTAAGATCCCCAACCCTGAGACCTCATGAGGAAAAGGATGTGCAGCAGATCCACTCAGCCAATAGGGAGAGAAGGAGAGAGGTTGACAAGGCAAGAAATACAAGAAAAATGAGGATACAACAGTAGAATACGAGTGGAAGGAGGGAAGCGAGGACGGATGATGGATGATTGAGCATGGGGTAAGGAGCATGGAGCATGGAGCATGGAATCGACGGATCGTGACTCCCATGCTCCCCAACATTGAGCGGCAACGCTGCAGCAACGAAGGAGATGCATTGTGGAGGTCGCGATGGACGATACTCAACATTTCAATCGGCAAGTCCGCCTCATCAACAGCTCGCTCTCCGGGCCCGCCCCGGAGCACAAGAGATGACTCGGATATGCTACTATGACAGGGTCTTAGGAAGAGGTCCTACTTCGATGATAGAATGTCTGCTAGGACCTTACTAAGAGAGTAGTGCTATGAAAGGAAGATTTCTTCCTATGAACTTGCTAGGACCCGTGGTTGTATTTCTGGATGTTTGACTGGCAAGGGTCTTATCACCAGCGAGCTAGAGAGCCGTGAAGCAGCTTCAAGGAGGAGGAGGAGGAGGAGGAGGAGGAGGAGGAGGATGTCAAGGTAAGCTAGTCCCGGTACGGTATGACGATGGACCGAGACAAGTGCCTTCATTCAGCCGAATGTTGTTTGAAGATTTACGACGTTGACCTGTTGTCTGAATCGAGTATTACGTTTCCTCAGTTTCAAGGGCCTCCCACAGACCGCAAGCCCCTCCACGTACAAGCTCATCCCCCCCTCCATCAATGCGAGGCCTCTAACCGGCCATCCTCCTCCTCGTCTCAGCTGGATGACTTCGTCGGCGGTGAAGTTCAGCCTTCCCAGCTCGAGGAAACGATCTCGCTCCTCCAGCAGCGAGTGTTGGACTTGGAGGGGATATGCAAGAAGGCATCTGTCCAGTCGCTGCAATCGTTGGACATCAAAGTGAAGAACATGATCGAAGGCCTTGAAAATTCGCCTAACTTGAGCGTTCTGTTCACTGTCAAGCCTTTCCTTGCAGCTCTCACCAAATGGCAGATGATTATTTTTGTTCTGCTAGACATTGCTCTTTTTGGCTTCCAGACCAGCAGGTTGGCAACACGCATTTCTTCGATGCAGAAAGGTTACGACTGGTCGATGCTCCGACTGTCGCACTTCAACGTCAGAGAGTCGCATCATGGTCGCTCAGTAGCTTTTCAGGTCCAGTCTGCGGGGCTGATGATGAACGAGAGGCTTCTGACGTGGGTGCCTTGTAACTTGACGACCACAGCAGAGGCCATGCGCTTGAGCTGCAGCGAGGACGTGCGTTGGAATGGCATCTACTTCGTGGCTTCCCCCGGCCTTGCCGACAGCGACATGCTGTGGACGGAGTTTGTCCTCGAGACGGACCGAGGAGACGGGTGGGTTGCTCAGAGCTGGAGCGGAGAGCTGGAGCGAGTCTCACGGTCCCGAGCCTTGTATTGCATGCAGAGAGGTCCGACGCAGGACGGAGGAATCTACGATCAGATCTGGTTGTCTACCAACTGCGTCTCTCTGTTGTTTTTCGTCGCAGTGCTTGTGGCGTTGGTCTCGCAGCATTATGTCATCGCCAAGTACAGCTTGATCGCGGGATATTACGTCTTGTACATCGCGATTGTGCCCTCCATCTTTCTTGAGATGAGCCCTGGTGATACTGTCACTTCCAGAGCAGTGATCTGTGCGACCCGAGTGTTTCAATTGATCACTGGCACCCTCTCTGTCGTCTTGCTACATCAGGAGACGCGACTTCTGTTGGGTTTGTCTCTCATCGGCCTCGGAAACTCTGTCAATCAGATCTGCAATCTTGTCTTTGGGATCAGGGATTTTGTACTTACCAACCTCATCTTTCAGGGACTTTTGCCGCTTGTCATCGCTGGGTTGGCGAAGCTATGGCTCATATCAGTTCGGTCAAGGAGCCGTAGCATGATGAAGGCAGACTTCGAGAGGTATGAGAGCGTCTACAAGAGCAACTTCCTTCCTGCAGACCTCGAAGCCTTGAGCAAGGAGCTTGGATTCATTCAGCACTTCACATGGAGCTCACAGGATCCTCCACGTCATACTAGACGTAGACTTCCTGATGAGCCTTTGCAGAAAGAAGGTAGCAAGAGCTCGGTCTCTTCCTGGCTACCTAGCGCTCTCATTGCCGGGATCCCGACCAAGCGATCTGCAGCAACAGACAAGAATCAGCCATCAGGAACAGCACGCACTTCGATCTCAACGATGCTGAGGCTTGGATCAGCAACAAGTCAAGATGACTGGATCACTCCAGTCACAAGTCTCGATCAGATCTACCTGCATGCGACTATCATACAAAACGTGTTCCGAAGGAAAGTGTACGAGATCGCTCGGAGATCCAATGGGCTTCTGAAGCGAAAGCCCGGCAATGACCGAAGTCTTCGAAAGCTAAGGCGGTCGGCCTCTGACGGTGGGACTATCGAGTGCGAGCTCGAAGCTGGCAACGTCCTGCAGTACGCAGAGGTGGAGTGGAGCAAGCAGAAGTCAACGTCCCGAGGCGTCGAGAAGGTCGTGCGGTGCTACGACGGAGACTCGTCTCGTCTAGTCGACGTCTGTCGAGAGAGCATCGTCTACGAGCATATACAAGACATCATAGTCGCGGTAAGGTGCATCAAGCTCGACCAGGATATCTCCGTCAAGCGGATCAAGAACCGTCTCGATCCCGACCTAGACCCATGGAGCACGGCAGGCTATCGGGACGTCGCCATCCACCTGTGCCTCGTATGCCAGGAGGCCTACAACCTCGGTCTTGAGGGGCATGTCTGTGAGCTTCTCCTCATCCCCAAGGACATGCATGACATCAAGATCGGATCTGGACATCGCAAGTATGTCACCTGGAGGAACCTGCGTGGTGAGTGACACCTGCTGAAGCCTAGATGATACACTGTGACTAGTAGGTAAACAACAATGAAATGATATACTAATTGATACATAACGCGAAATGGCACATCAAGAGATAAACAACGCACATCAATAGAGATAAACAACGTCAAGTGATACATTAACAGATATCCGACACAAGGGATATCCCTTGCCGCGTGCGCATCTACTGCTGATCGAGTCACTACTAGTGAACTAGCGAAAAAGTGAACTCGGCGGAGATCTGGTTCTCGTGGGGGTGGGGGTAATTTCATGGTAAAGAAAGGGGGTACTACAGGCGCAAGATTGTTTGCGCCATGGAAGGGGTTGCGGGGAAGGCGGCAACGCTCACCGAGCGGAGGAGGAGGAGGAGAAGGAGGAGTGATAGGGGAGACCTTGCTTCGTCATCAACATCTCTACCTGCCTGTTGTCAACACGCTTCTTCAGCTCCCTCGTCTGTCTGCTGGTCGCTGATCGTCTTCGCTGCCTGCCTCCAACCCTCATGCTCTTTCCTGGCCCCAGTCGCGCTCCCTCAGCAGAGGCTCTCGACTCAACCTCGTGCCTGGACGAGGATTCATCGAGCATGCAGCGCAACGAAGATCACTGCAAGCTTCAATGAGGACATGAAGGACTTCTTGGCCGTCAGTCTTGTTGGTTCCAACCTCCTTATAGACAGGAACGACCCGCTGGTCTTCCTCGCTCCGACCTTGGAGTTCGGGGAGGATGGTTTTGGTCTGCAGTCACGCATAGCGACATCAGACAGCTTCACCGTCTCAGGGCAACGCAGAGCAGTCCCGATCCCTGTGGCATCGAAGGGTGAGGATGATGATGTGGGCATGGCAAGTTTGACTGATGAAGAGTGTTGACTGGCAGAGGAGGTCACGTTGCTAGGAGGTCTTCGTTCTTTCGAGGAGGTCATTTCAAACAAGGTGTCAAATCGGTGCCTGTCTCTGCTCGAAAAGTCTCAGGCTGTCGTCGCCACAAAGTTGGTTCAGCTTAAACATGTCGCGCACTTTCCTTTCCTTAGCCCTTCCCAGGCCCCTCTGGGACGCTCTCCCCTTCGAAGACTTGGGCCCTGAAGCGCGACGATCGGCGGTAGAGATGATCAATCGCGAGACGAACCTCCGCAGTCCTCTTGACGTGCGTCAACGTCGTGGATCTTGCTTTCCTTTGCTGAACCCTCGCAGGTCATCCAGAGGCTGTGGGAAGCTGCCGCCTGCTCGCCGTACCGAGTGATGATCGATGAGGTTGGCCATTCTTGCTAGAGGAGAAAGTGAGAGCGTCGGGCAGGTTCCTTCGCTCTATGATGGGAGCTCCATCACACTGGGAGGAAGCATCCTCTTCGGAAGGGGCGAGTTGGAGGGGACGGACCAGCCGATGAGGATGGTCGCCAGTCCTGCCGCGTCCGTTGCTTTTGCGACCAAGTTCGGCAGCCCAGTCTACATCAGGAAGGACATCTACAAGGAAACGTGCTGCAGAATCGTCAACCTGGGCGACGAGGGGGAGCGGTAGAGGGAGGAGGGGGGAAGGGCTCGGGCCTCTGACTTGTTCCTGCAGCAATAAGTTTTCAATCGACGGATCTCAGCCTGTTGCATGGCGGACGCCCAAGACGGCCGAGAAGTTCATGTTTAGAGTGCGAGAATCGCAGAAGAACGCCAAGATAAGGGAGGAGGTGAGACTCAGTTGGTTCCCCTGGGAAAACTGCAGCGGGTGATCTTGGTGTGCTCGGGCAGGCGTTGAGGAAGAAGACGTGGGAGATGAAGGCTTCCGACCTGCTGGCAATGAGCGTCGAGCAGCTCCGGTTCATCCTCGCAGAGCAGGGAGTTCCTTCTTCCAGCAAGGCGACCAAGGAGGAGCTGGAGGACCTGGTGCTGCCGGGCATGGATGAAGTCGAGAGACGGTGACGACAAGGGGAGGGAGAGGAGGATTGTGAGATACTTTTACAGCATCGTCATGATCCAACGAGCCGTGGAGCGTGAGGATTACGGGACGGCTTCACAGCTGGCTGCCAACCAGGTGAGGGCAGCGCAGAGGAGGAGGAGTAGGTGGTTGAGCTAAAGTCCGCAGTCACGGAGGGGGAGGATAGCGGCAGCGATCGTCGAGGCAGTGCGGGAGGAGAGATACTACGAGGCTGCGGAGCTGCAGGAGGAACTGGAAGTGATCACGATGGGACGGTGAGCTGTTGGTAGCGCTAAAAGCTCCTGAACCTTCCCGGCAGGGCCGACATCACCCAAGATGAAGGATCGTACGATCCGTACTTGGACGCAGACGACTGGTACGTCAAGGTAGGAAGGGGAAGGAGGAGAGGGCCGCCGCTGACCTGCAGCAGGACCTGATGCGCAGGCGGAAAGGGAAGTGAAGAACGGAAGCAGAGAAGAGGGATCGAGGGGGGCATGAAAGGAGGAAGAGATAGCGAGGAATGGGAAGGGCGAGGAGGGAGGAGGGAGGCGAGGAGGGAGGGAAGGGGCAGGCCCGATCCCTTGGGCAAGGAGGATGTAACTAAGGGGTGAAAATGCTAGAAAGACCCCTTGTTCACTGTGTCTGCCCGCAAACAAACACTCTGAGCATAAGAGCTGTGCAGCGTTACTCGGATGTTTTCGACTTGTATCTCTTCTCTGTCGTCCAGGACCTGAAGGAAAGTTCTCCTCAGCACATGCTCCACACACAAGTATGCTGCATGACTCACCCAACGTCCTCCGTGTTCACGTTCTTCCTCCCTTTCAGCTGCGGAGGTACCAAGGAGCTATTCGCCAGCATCCTCTGGCCAGTGTACACCTGCGCAAGGAGCTCAGGATGACAGGCGACCTCCTCGTAGTGATTGATGACAGTGTGATGACCTTGTTTGCATCCACAGACGTTCCGACCGCTGGCTTGATGTAGTCCGCTCGTTCCCCGATGGTATCACTAGCCCTCACGCCAGTGGGGGGAGGAACGTTGTGGTACTCCTTGCCGATCCGATCGACGCTCTTCTCCTCGGTCTGCTCATCGTCGTCCCTTGCCCAGCTACTTGTCGAGGCCATCATCTGCGAAGCGCTCGGTAGCTTCCTTTTCTTCGCTCCTGGACATTTCACAGCGTTAGGGAGCAGAGGGGGCCTAGGATGGCTGGCTCACCTGATCCCTCCGCCCCTTCCTTGTCCTTCCCCTCTGCAGCATTCTCCTTAGTGTCCTTACCCTTCCCTGCCTTCTCCTCCTTCCCCTTCGCCTCCTCCTCCTCCTCCTCCTCCTCCGAGCTGTATCCTTCGACGAGCGACGCCAGCATAACCTCTCAACGCCGTATCCTATTGTGGGTTTATTGGCTATGGTTCCCTTCAAGAAAAGTCTTTCATTTATTTATTGTATTTTTCATATTTTATTGTTTATTTATTGCCAGGCTTCGGAAAGGGAAAGGAGCTCCTCCCGCCTCCCGCTCCTTCTCTTCCCCTCCCCTCCCCTCCCGCGCCGTCCCGCGTCACCTTCTCCTCCCTCTCCTCCCTCTCCTCCCTCCCCTCCCTACCCTCCCTACCCTCCCCTCCCTCCCCTCCCTCTCCTCC